GAATCAAAAATAAGATTTCATCGAAAGAGTGATTTTAAAAGATAGATATAAATGATTGTCAGCTGAAAAGAAAGTGCAACAAATAAATGTCCCGTAATAATAAGATATCTGCAATAGTCTCCATAATACAGATAAACAAACTGAAAAGTTATTGAAATTAAAGTACTAATTCTTTCAAAAGCATCTATTGGATGTTATCTGGGGATTATAGTCATTCCTAAAATCGTTCCTCCAAAAGCATTCTATATGTTTTTAAGATTTAAATAAATAAAAAAAAAGGTTCTCGTTATATCCATATTCTCACTTTTCAACATGACTATTACTATACCTACGACCCGAAGGTTATTGTCTATAAAGAAACCTAATGCCCAAAGAATATCTCAGGACAAGTTGCACCTGGGGAAGGATCCATTGTACTTTTGTACTGCACTATTATCTAATTACTTACTTATTTACTGAATTACTTTCTACTGATTTACTTTTCTACTGCACAATTCATCTTTATACTTCAGTAGACAAACAGATACGATACTACGAACTCAAATCGCAACAATTCAGCCAATCAGAAGTCTATTTTCATTCTTTCCTTCACGTTCTTATCTCCAAGTTAACATTAAGTTTCTATCATCTAGCGTTTTCCATAATTGTAAAAGAAAATATTTCTGCATGTGAATTATAGTTCATCATATTGCTGTAAATTTTTGTAAAATAATATGTAAAATAAATTTTTTATTAAAGTACTTGCAACATTTACAAAATTATTTACTATAGGATCATTAATAATACATGAAGTTCTATCATGTTTCCATCGCTTTAAAGGAACGTATTTGTTGTTGATGAGCTCAATATCATTAAAGCATTGTTATTCTACCTTTTATTAAATACTAGAGGACCCGGCAATACTTCGCTGTCGCTAAATTGGAGTATATATATGAATTAAATAAATAGATTTGCAGTTGGAAATCAATTCATTTATTCAATTAAAATAATATAAAGTTAATTGTGTGGGATATATAATTTTTAATTTCTATTTCATTGCTGTTTTTTTTCTTTCTTCTATAGATTCTTAAATTATTTAACTGCACATAAGAATCCTATTTTTTAAAATATTTTTTTTTTATTTCATTCAAATTTTGCATTTGGTGTCTTGGGACAAAAGGCTTTCATTTTAAAGAAAATAAAATTAAATATTCAGAAACAATAATAATAATGAATTTTAATAATCTTATTTGCCTTTTTTACATTTTTTTTTTGTTGTACCATATTTCAAATTTTGTAATTAAATCAACGAACAATGTTAGTCTTCATAATTAAAAATTTGTTACAGGGCAAATATTAAAAAAACTAAATGATTGTATTTAGTTTACCATACTTGATAGTAGAGAAAGCTACGGGGTGAAACATCGTGACCATCTCTTTCAGATAATTTCAGAATTCTTTGTGATAACGAAAAGATTATCATCTGTGGAGAACATGACTCCATTGATAAAATGCCCAGTATTTGTGTGTTTTGCATATCCAAATAGCATGATCGATGGGATACAATGTTCATTACGAGGGTAAATATTAAGGTGCCTGATTACAGTAAGATATGAAACTTGGCATCCTGTTACCACACATAGCTGCTAAGCACCCGCTGATTGACAAGTGAACTATCTTCACCTGTAAAATATATACCGATCATGTAGTAATATTTTTTTTGGACCTTTACCAATTTTTCCTACAAATCAGATCTGTGTTTTGATAAGCTTTTCGAGTGAATGAAACGACACTAGGTTAATATCAAGTTCTTGGTGTATATACATCACACTATACATTGTACACTTCAAGCTTACACATAGTTTTTCCACTTGTGTAAAGATGGATCCAGATGATTCCTGCTACATATACAACTCACTTGAGTTTGCAGAAAATGTCCTTGATAGACACTTCCATTCTTTCTTTCCTTAGCATTATATATTGCATGCATGCATAATTTGCTGCTTTTTAATTACTCTTATCAGACTTGTTATGGCTTGTTTTTATTTTTAATATACGAATTACGTTTCTAAACTCTCCCCCCTTCCGTTTGCAATACGAACGTCGAATTGCGTGTTACTTATGTAAATAGCCGAAAGTCTCTTTCCCTAGACTAGAGCTCGATTTAAAATCATGTCCTTCATTTACTTTTACTAGTTAAGTGAATGAAGCAAACACAAATTTAGTTTACCTTTAAATAAGTGATTTTCAATCTCTTCCTTCTCTTAAAAATATGAATATTTTGAATATTAAACTAAGTATCATATTATTAGGAGCCTGAATGGTCGAGTGACTGGCGCTCGGTGCCACAGGTTTTGGGTTCGAGTCCCGGAGGTGTCATGGATGTTGTAGTAATCCATTTTAAACCGTAGATCCCGACCTAATATGACCGTAGAGCGTAGGGCTGACAACTCTACCGCGTAAAAATAATCATCTGCAGTCTAGAAATCTGCCAGCAAGCACACGGCCTTTGCCCACCATGGGGTTGTTGCGCCACTGATGATGATGAACATATTATTAAGTATTAAATTTAATTCTTGCGAATATTTCTTAAAAAAAGGTTTTAACTCATTAAAAAAATTCATCAATACATTAATCAAAGTGTATTTAAATAGCAAGACAATACATTTTCCCTTTACAGAGTCACATTTAATTAACCTACAATTTTTATCTGAAATAACTCTCGAGTGGCTCAGATAGCACTAGAAATATGTTTTTATTGAAAAGAAGGGAATTTAACGGAGGAAAGAATATAATAAAAGGAATTTAATGGACAAGATTTTCAAAGTAATAACCACCAGAGACTACCAATAGCGCCACTTAGTCACAAATTTGTCTGCCACAAATTCAAGAACTACTTTTTTAATGCTTACAAATGTATTAGTTATGGACTTCTTGAGGCAAATAAGATTTTTCTGCTTCTTCTAGTAAACCAAATTATTCTTATGCGTCCATGCGACATCAATTGAAATAAGTGGAAATTATAAGAACAATGATCGGAGAATATGACAGGTCGGATAGGACTTTCCATCGAAGAGTTTCTTAATAGTCTTTGACTTGTTTCGAAACATGTGGTCAAACATTCTAATGTTGAAAATGAATTTGCTGTGTCTTTCCTGCTAATCTGGATATCTTTTTTTCAATGCTCGTCTCAAATGTATTAATAGCAGTAATGGTTCACTTGGCTTTAGCACGTCATAATTTTTTTCGGCTGATTTTCGTATCAAAACCACCATTTTTGACTAGTTCTGTTCAGTTGGTATTTGTTCCTCTTAAACTTCCATAAGAATTTGATGCGCTTCAATTGCATTCTCCTTCTAATTAAAATAGAAAACTGAAACTTCATGCAAATTTTTTTTCACCAAAATAACATGTCCAAAGATAATTTTTTTTTCAATACATTACAAATTAAACATGTTTAAAGCTCTGCTGTTCAATCAGAAATGAAATGGTGCATACTAAACATAACCTAATGACAGCTGTTTGACATGAAGTACTTGTCAGTTTCACATGACAATAATACACGTTGCGCCATCTGTTACAGCAGGAATTAAGTTTAATACTTATTAAATATGAATGTTTTATTCAATTATTTATGAGCAAAATATGAAAACTAAATTTTAAAATTATAATTTATGTAATTATAATATTAAATATTAAATTCGTTTATTATTTATAAGTAATTAATGTATGTGTTGAAATACAACATTATTTAATTTTACCTTGTAATGGAAATCTAATATTAAAAAGATGAAAATTCAACATTGATAAAATTCTAAATTAACATAAATTTTTTGAAAATCACAATGGAATATCATAAAAGATGTATCTAAATTATGCTGAAATGAAAGATTTTAGCATAATTTAGATCTTTTATGATATTCCATTGTCCATTTTAAACAAAAAATTTTTTGGCAGCTTACAAATTAAATTCTTAGTGTACCAAAAAGGATTCTACATTATCCTTTGGTGGTTGCAAGAGGGATCTTTAATATTTTACAAGGTAAATCAAAACCAAGAAACAAACTTTGAAGCATGATATCAAACCAAGGCAAACAACTTTTTTTTCTATAATAATGTATGAGCTATGAAAAATTGCTAAGCATTAAATAGAAAATACAGCACTAAATAAAAAAAAATATTATTAAGACATTCTAGTTTTTATGTGAATTGAATTTGTTATTGTTTTGTGCACAATTCCAATAAAAAAAAAACATCAGCATGTGGAGGATCAATGGAAATTCAAAATCAAATTTTATGTTGTTTGTTGTTGTTTCTTATCACACTTGGCTGGCCAAGCCCACGAGCCCATATGTACTCATGATTGAAGGGGAAGGAAGCAGCTTCTGTTGTAATGGAGCACCCGTAGGTAGAAGCCTGACTTTTGCTACGTGACGCTCTTACAGTCATAGGAGACCGGGACCTACGGCTTAAAGTGGATTCCGAACCATTACAAACATCCATGGCACCGCCGGGATTCGAACCCGAAACCTGTGGCACCGAGCGCCAGAGCGCTAGACACTCGGCCATTCAGGTCCCAAATTTGCCGACGGCACGCAGTGTTCCCAGGTGGTCACCCACCCAAGTACTGACCGCGCCCAATGATGCTTGACTTCGGTGATCTAACGAGAATCAAATTTTATTCATTCAATAAATGTTTTAAAATAAAAATAAGGAATAATTTCTTACTTCCCTTATTTTGAAACAAAAAATTCATTATTAGCAAGAGTTGGCAGGTACAGTCAATAAAAGTTTTGGTGGGTCATAAATATTAACAAGTTGATTTGATGGCAATAGCTATCGTTTCTTTTTTTCTATTTGAAGTCCAAAGCCTATCGGCTATAGACAATTTTGTGCGTTTTATTAAAAGTGGTCGATATCTTCACTAGGAAAGTGAATGTGCTGAAAAAATGTGATAATTTACTGCATTTTCATCTTTGATAGTCATTTTTTATAACTCCTTTTTACTCTGTACAATGCTACATTTGTCACTCGCAGGGAAAAATTTATATTCCTCTGAGCGAACTAAAAATGTGTGTCTTCTACCTGAATATTAATTGCTTTTACTGAATGCCTTATTTAGTCAACAGTTAAAAAGTACATTTAATCACATAAAAGCTTTTAAATATTATTCAAATTCAGTTTTCCTGTAATCTATTGAAAGATGAATCCTACTGCTTCGAATTGTTAAATGATCTGAATATATTATAAATTTGTATTCAATTGGCGACGTACATTTTGTAATTTCGCCATGTAAAGAATTTTCTTTCCACGTAAGTTTCGCAACAGATACTTGCTGATGGGTAGGATGCATTCATTACCACTGGTATTTTCTTTCCATCTGGATATTTAATACAGTTTATAATTATTGAGAATTCAACATTCGATTAAAAGAAGGCAATTTTCACCCTAAAATTTTTAATAAAATAAAATATATAATTACATACAAAATAAAAATTATTACTTTTGTAACCGTACTTCCTTCTATAAACTGGCAAGAGAACCGCCCTGTGGCACTCAGGAGAAATGGCCAGTAGGCTTCGAGACTCCCACTCGAGAGGAAGTAAAGTGCAACCTGGTTTCCCTCTGATAAACATTTAATCTATAGTCTCTATGCCCGAGAGAAAGTATATTTCACGTACCCTGTGCGTAGCCAAGTTTCGAGTTATCGGTCTAGAAGTATAATTGTGTTTTATAAATAATTTCAGAATGATGGTGATAAAATGTCTAATTTGTCAGAGTGATGCAAATAATAATAACTAGCAACCAAACATTTAATGGTACCAAATATTAACCGGTAATGCCATCGTCCCTCGATCCTGGTTTTGCATATAAAACGCCCACACGTACTTTTGTTTTAAAGTTTGCAACCAACACGTGAATCCCCTGATCTTGATTTGGAAACATTTCAACGTTTTCTACTAAGTGTTTAAGATGGTGTTTGATGTAAATGGACACACCGCTCGGCCTTCGCAGTGAAAGATCGCTTTACTTAATGATGGTGACAAATGTAAACATTGTTTAACATTCGTTAAACAATGTTTACATTTGTCCATTGTTGTATCCATGTTTAAATTTGTCCATTGTTGTATCCATGTTTAAATTTGTCCATTGTTGTATCCATGTTTAAATTTGTCCATTGTTGTATTTATTTGCTTGCCGCACTTTTTGGGTTACGCCACGAACCCCTAACCAGGACAACATCATGTTCACACATTATAATAATAATAAATAAATTAGTCCAACGGCCGTACCATGCTGAATATACCGGTTCTCGTTAGATCACCGAAGTCAAGCATCATTGGGCGCGGTCAGTACTTGGGTGGGTGACCACCTGGGAACACCGCGTGCCGTTGGCAGATTTGGGACCTGAATGGCCGAGTGTCTAGCGCTCTGGCGCTCGGTGCCCCAGGTTTCGGGTTCGAATCCCGGCGGTGCCATGGATGTTTGTAGTGGTTCGGAATCCACTTTAAGCCGTAGGTCCCGGTCTTCTATGACTGTAAGAGCGTCACGGAGCAAAAGTCAGGCTTCTACCTACGGGTGCTCCATCACAACAGAAGCTGCTTCCTTCCCCTTCAATCATGAGTCCATGTGGGCTTGTGGGCTTGGCCAGCCAAGTGGGATAAGAAACAACAACAACAACAAAACAACATAAATAAATTGAATTAAATCTGGTTCTGTAAATGATATGTAATAGTTAATAAGTTAATATTAAAAGGATATTCTATATTTAAATAATGCAACCTCCCCAAAAAGTTACATATCTGACAGATATTTTGACCATTTTGCTCAATAATAGTCACTATCGGTATTCGTGACACGCAAATTGTATAACAAAACGATCATAATATTCTTAATATAAAAACTCTGAAGCGCCCCCTCTCCATGCAAATCTCTTAAAAAAAAGAAGGGGGAAAAAAAAATTGTTCGAGATTTGATCTCGGCATACGAATCTGAAAATCATTAGATCAATAGAAATAGAAAAGGATGAGCCGCAATAACTGAATTGGCACATAAAAAAAAAAGTAAAATTTATACAAAATATACGAAAAACAGTGTATCAAACGTATTATCCAGGAAATTCGTAAAACGTAGTTGAAATTAATAAAATTAGATTTTTTTTATTAAAATGCAAAGGTAATTAATTATGAGATCCTGTATATATATATAACAAGTGGGCTGAAATGCTCGTAGGCTTACACATAGCTGGCGCCACTAGTATTAAATCCATATAATTTTTAGTTAGCACTAACCTTCAAAAGACACGTGTATAAATTTGACAGCTGTTGCACTATTAGTATGTGAGTTATAGCATTTTTAGTGAAGCAACTTTAGTTAGTTTGAAAAAATGGATAAAAAGGAATTTCGTGTGTTAATAAAGCATTGCTTTTTGTCCAAAAAAATACTATTGAAGCCAAGGCTTGCCTTGATAAACATTATTCGGACTTCGCACCAGGAAAATCAACCGTAGAGAAATGGTTTGCTAAATTTAAACGAGGCGAAATGAGCACCGAGGACAATGCACGCAGTGGACGCCACAAAGGGGCTGTTACCGACGAAAACATCAAAAAAGTCCACAAAATAATTTCCGATAACCGTAAAGGGAAGTTGATTGAGATAGTTGAGACCCTAAAGATATCAAAGGAACGTGTTGGACATTTGGATATGCGAAAGCTCTGTTCAAAGTGGGTGCCGCGCAAAGCTCACAATCGACCCAAAACAACAACGATTTGATGATTCTAAGCAGTGTTTGGAGCTGTTCAATCGTAATAAACCCGAATTTTTGCGTCGATATGTGACAATGGATGAAACATGGCTCCATCATTTCACACCGGAGTCCAATCGACAGTCAGCCAAGTGTACTGCCCGTCATGAACACTAAAAATGCTATAACTTCATTAAAAATGCTGTAACTCACATACAAATAATGTAACAGCTGTAAAATTTATACACGTGTCTTTTGAAGGTTCGGGCTAACTAACAATCATATGGATTTAATACTAGTAGCGTCATCTATGTGTCAGCCTACGTACTTTTCAGTCCACCTGTTATATATATATATATATATATATATATGTTAGGAAGGATGGTGAGCGCTCGTTGATGCAATGACTTACTATTTCTTAGTAGAAATATAAGAAAAAAGTCCAAAGAGTGAAGAATCTTAGGAAATGGTAAACTACGGAAAATGTTTTTTAATGAAGTTTATTAATGACGATGTTTTGCAAATATATTTTGATACAAATAATGGAGTTTCAGTTTGTAAATCCATTCATAAGAAATTTTTTCCATTTGTCGAACATGATGATTTGTGAGGAGAAAACTATATTTCGACAAACCTATAGAACACAAAGCAACTGCAGTCGCGCTATTTGCTATTTTAAATAATTTTATAAACTAAGCAAAAATAGAGTGTAAAAATTGCGTTGGAATGGGCAATGATGGTGTTCATTAGATGTCTGGATAATTTCAATGTATACAAGCACTTGTGAAACAAATATCTTCACAGTGTGTTTGGACACTTGATCCACAAAGAAGATCTGGTTTTCAAAGAAATTAGTCTTAATTCTGAATATTGTGCTAACGACGATTGTAATAGTCGTAAATTATATAAAAATGAGACCCCTAAAAATCAAGAATCTTTTCTGTAACAAATATAATATATGTTATACTTATAAAGACGTGCGTGCAGAACATTCCAGAGTTTCTATTTTGTTGCGAGCCGAGATGGTTAACGGATGGGAAATTTTTACAACGTGTTTATGAATTAAGAAATGAAATCGACATTTTTCTAGAAGTGAAAAAATTGAGTTATTTGTGAAAAAATTGAACTACTTGGTTGACATATTTGAGTAATTAAATACCTGAATTTTCAATTCCATACTAATATTTTTGAGTTAAAAAGCTAATGCCTTTTGTATAAAACTGGAATTGTGTAACAGAAATTTAAAGCAAAAAAACCTAGAGATGGGAATGAATGTAAATGCAAATGAAAATTTACAAGTGTAAGGAATTGCATATGTAAATGAAAATATAATTGCAAATGTAAATGAATATGTTAACATTTACCAGGTAGAAGAATAATACATGAAAGTTGTTTTTGTAACTCTTGAAAATCATTTAGCCATGCTGGCAAAGTATTTAAAAAAATATTTTTTGGCAGAAAACAATTTGGTAGCAAATCATTAGTGGGTTATGGATCCATTTCAAAATATTCCCGAAAATTTCCCAGCTGCCGAAGAGGAAATTTTCATAGATTTCGCAGAAAACAGTGAAACCAAAAGACAATATAGGAATATATCATTTTGAATTTTAAGTATGGACGGATGATAAGTTTTGTGCTTTGTGGACAAGATCATTTCGTATACTATTACTACCTTCAACATTCTGCTTTTGCGAAGTCGGATTTTCTGCTGTAGCTGCTTTGAAGACAAAACATAGATCTAAACTAAATATAGAATTCACAGTGATTATTTCTCATATAAAATCGTCTTTCGAGAAACTTTGATCTGAAAGACAAGCCCAAAGAAGTCACTAATAATTATTGAACTTGTTTCTAACTTACCACAGCTAAGTTAATTATTAAATACGTTGTGCAGTACTGATACAATCTTGTTTATGAGTGTATTGTA